CCCACCTAGCTAATGATCGATCAAACAAGTTACCTGTTACCTGACCTCAAATTGCCCAGCATTGCACCATATCCCTTGGAAATCCTGAAGAAATTGGCAAAACCAAAGCTGCAGAATGCCCTACAAATGGCTGGGGGGGGAAAACCCCAATCTTTAGGTAGGAGGGATAGGGAGAAAAACCCTAGTAACGTAGATTTTGGATACACGATGAAGCAGCAGTTGACAGAGAGAAGAAAGAGCAAGTCTTTGTTAAGAACAAATCAGAATAGTAAACTTCCCCAAAATATACGGGAAAAATTGACTGGGATTTTTGTCCTTTAAAACCTTGCCAAAATTAACCAAAATTATTCATTTCATTAGTGACAATCCACTACGGACCCAATCATGGGGTTTTATTTCTTAAGGTTCCCCTCATCTCGATCGGTTTTAGTAGAGTGTGTTAGTAAAAATAAAGTACGTATTAACTTTATATATTAGAATAGTTATAATTTTTTCATATTAGATATATATTCTATTGTGTATTAAGATCCGTATTGTTAATATCATGAATTTTTAGTTATTGGTAATGTAACGAATTTTAATGCATTCATTAGCATGGTTAAAAGCTTCATTGTCCCTAAAAAATAGTTAAATCTTTTCCATCATTAATGTGAAGGTATTTTCGTAAAAATATATTTTTATGTGATGCATGATATTTTTAATACACTAAACCAAATAATGCGAAATATAATTAATGCAAGCATTATTAACACACTTTATTTAGCATTTATTATTATACACTCTATCAAACGACATCTATTCTCTCTTAATTAAAAGTTTCAAAATTGAGTTTTGGGTATAAAAAAATCTTTAGCAAGAAGCATTTCCCTCCGAATGGAATCCTAAGTAGCGAAAATTCAAATATAGTCGGACTATGATCTAATACGGAACGTTGGGTGAGAAATTGAAAAGAGAAACATCTAGATTCTTTTGGTAAGAGGAATAAGGATAATAATTTTGTGATAAAATATAGATATTTCATTGTAGTGATGTGATAAATTATCACATAGTTGTCATAATTTTCTTGTTATAAGAGTCGACGTAACGAAGGAATGAATCTATTAAGTGGGAAAGAGCCCTCGTAAGGCCTCTCTCATCCCTTGCTTATGCTGAATCGAGATTTTATTGGTCTTCTTTGACCCGCGGGTGCGAATCGGTAGCTGTGAAACTAGCTCTGGCTTGATGACTGCTTTACTTTTCGCCTTTTCCTGGGGCATAGAAGGAGTTGATCCTGGTCGAGGTAAATGAATTTAGGAATTCATATCCTCTCACTTCGTTCGAGCTGAATTACATCCACCCTCTCACTTCGTTCGAGCTTCCTTTTCAGCCCTCTCACGGCCGAAGGCTCCACAACACGTTGGAGAGCTATATGAACTTCACTAACATTGCAAAATGTATTTTTGCATTATATTGATACAAAATTTTCTACTATTGTTAGTAATTTCAGTATAGTTTTGAAATATCTAAATTTTTATTTTAGAATATTAAATTAATGAAATGCAATTTAATTGTATAAATTATTCAAATTAACTATTGTTAGTAATTTCAGTATAGTTTTGAAATATCTAAATTTTTATTTTAGAATATTAAATTAATGAAATGTAATTTAATTGTATAAATTATTCAAATTAACTCGTAATAAGTATATTAAGGACAACTAAGAATAAAATAAATATATAGGTACAATAACAACGCGAATGGTACATTTTGAGCTATTTTGGTAACAACATAAATTATTCATTTTCCATTAATCAAATGCACTTTTGACCCTTTACTGATAAAAATAAACCGCTATTAATATTTGACCAAAAGCAAAAACCTTTCTTTATATTTTTAGTCAAAAGTCACTAAAGTTATATTATGAACCTTAGACAAAACTTTTCTATCAATTATACATATTTTATTTTCTGTTAACTAAACTAAACATCTTAGAAATTGTATAAAATTGGAACTTAACTGCAACATATAGTTGTGTAGTAGTGCAGTAACCATGTGCACAGTGCACAATCCAGAACAACTTGAGCTGGACATTAATTTTTTAAAAAATTTGTTTTATTATAGGAGGTTGACGATCGAATCTTTACTCAAATAACCAATCAACCGATCTACCAAGATCCTCGACGAGCAATTCATTATTTTCAAACTTCTTTATCTGAAGTTCCTCGATTTTCAGGGTTTGAATCTGATGCGTACGTTAAACTACGCCATCACACCCCAACTACCCCACATGTTTGATCTCAATTCCCCTTTTTACCTTTGTGTATTGTTGACTTCATTGATTGATTCCTAGCTTCATCTCTAGTAACAATATTCAACTATTTGGCTATTGTGACAAGAATTAAGAGTGCATTGATCAAGATCATACATTAATTTGAACCAAGATGTTACCTATCACAATTGAGTTGTTATCAAAATCAATGGTGATCTTCGACGAAGATGAACAATTGCTGATGGAGAATATTCTTGGTGGAACAGATCAACTAGGCGTTATCGCGATTGTTGGCATGCCAGGGCATGGTAAGACAACTCTTGCCAAAAAGTTATATCGCCACGAAAACATAGTCAATCGATTTGATGTTCGTTCATGGTGTACTTGTGTCTCTAAAGTATATGACAAGAGAAAAATATTGCTTGAACTATTAGGCTATGAGTATGAACACCGCGTTCAAGTTGAGAAGAGTGTGGATGAATTAATCCAACAAGTACGAATGTGTTACGAGAAAAGGAGATATTTCATAGTTATAGATGATGTATGGAGCACTGTTGTGTATGATGAGTTAGTTAGTTTGTTCCCAAATAACAACAGCAGGAGTAGAATTGTCATAACTACCAGGCTTGATGAACTGGTTGATTCATCTGTAAATTACTCGTTTTGCTATACTCATCGTCTTTCATTTATCGCGGAAGAGAAAAGTTGGTTGCTACTAAGGAACATAGTTTTTAAGCAAGAAAATAACTGTTGTTTTCGAGAATTTGAGGAGATAGGGAAGCAAATAGCGAAAAGTTGTGCAGGGCTACCTCTAGCAGTTGTATTAATAGGGGGTCTTCTTGCAAGATTGGATAAGAAAAAAGGCATTTGGACTAAAGTGGCTCAATGGTTAAGTGCAAGTGCAAAAGTTGCTGGTGAGGCAGAGTGGTACATGGACATAATAGAGTTGAGTTACAAGCATTTGCCAAGTTATTTGAAGCCGTGTTTTCGTTACTTTGGTATGTTTCTTGAGGATGAGGAAGTTTCAGTTAACAAGTTGATGAGAATGTGGGCTGCAGAAGGTTTTGTACAGAGTGATGAGGTGAGGAGTGCAGAGATTGTCGCGAAGGACTATTTGATTGATCTAATTACAAGCAATCTTGTCTTGGTTGCGGAGAGATTTCCACTTGGTGATATCAAATCAGTTTGTCTTCATGATTTGGTGCAAGATTTTTGCTTGAAGAAAGCTAAAGAAGAGAACTTTTTGCTGAAAGTTGATAGGTATAAGAAGTGTTCTTTCATTTATTCGTCGTTGTAGAACTTTTGTAATGCTCAAATTTTGTGAGGAATTGTGACGCAGTTCCATCACAAATAGTGTTTTTTTTCTTGTAGTGATATGTATATATTATGTCTAGTATCTCACTGTTATTCGTTTTCTTTCAGATCTCATGCTTTGGATCCTGCTACTTCTAATTCAGCTAGTGATGTACAACGGTTCCTGGTTTGCTCGAAAATGCAGCACTTCATCAAGTGGCTGCATCCGACCCAACGTGTCCATACTTTGAGGTTACATGCCCACAACATTAATGAATTTTACAATATAACTGACGGTGAAACGAACAAATTCATCCTACCAAGTGGAGTATTCAGTTCAGACTTGTTCAAATTATCACTTACAGTACTGGACTTAAGGAACATTATGATCGATGCTTCAGCTCTGGAGGACATAACATCCTTGATTCACTTGAGGTACCTGTCAATTTTCGGTAATTTTAGTGAAATTCCACGGGCCATATCGAACCTTACAAATCTGGAAACGTTTGTTGCAAGACCAAAAAGTGGTACCTTAACTCTTCCAAGGTCTATCTGGAACATGATAAACTTAAAGCACGTGTATATAACCGAAGCAATGATACATTTCAACAGTACTGTTGAGGCTGGAAAAGAGGGTGTTTTCGAGTTAGAGAAATTAGAAAGCTTTTCGAAAGTAGTCATAGTGAATGGAGATGATATATGTGAAATGTGCAGCAAAGCACCAAACTTAGTCCAACTTGAACTTATTGTGGAGCAATGGGACAACTTGTTTAGCTCTCTCAACTGTTTGATATATCTCGAAACACTTAGTATCTATCATCGTGGCGATTTTCCAATGAGTGGGATTAACATGATGTTCCCTCAATGCCTAAAAGAGTTAACTCTGTCTAGTTGTGGCTTCTCATGGGATGAAATTTCAACAATTGCCACATTACACAACTTGGAAGTGCTTAATATACTTCTTTCTGCCTTCACTGGGAAAAAATGGACAGTTGGTGTTGGTGGTTTCCTTAACCTTAGACTATTGAAGTTAGAACATAGTTCTATCAAACATTGGAACATGTTTGTTGATTCATTCCCCTGTCTCGAGCAACTGGTGTTGCGTTGGTGTGGTAAACTTGAGGAGATCCCCGCGAGTTTTGGGAGCATGCCTTCGTTGCAGAAGATTGAGGCGCGCGCTTGTTGTCCCTCAGCCAGAAAATCTGCTGTGAAAATCAGGAACATGCAGAGGGATGACATGAAAAATTTAGACTTCAAAGTCATCATGTATTTAGATTAGAGTTTAGTTTCTTCTCTTATTTTCATGTTTCTTTTAATGTCAACTCGCATATTCTGATTACTTTGGGTTGAAATTTTGTAAGACATGTCGACTAGTAAACGCTAACGAGATCAAATGAGGGAGAAAAAATAAATACGATTTTAGGTGTGATCAAATTTGAATTTAACGATAAGATAAACATTTAGTACTTTAGTACATAATATTAATTCATGAACATTATTATAAGCAGTACATCAAACGGAATGGTTTAAAAAAAAAGAGCAATTAAAAGAAAACAAATGTTTATTCAGTAAGGTATATAATAAATTAGGAATAAGCATCATTTATTTATTTATTTGTTTAATTAATTTATTTATTTTGTTTATTATGTTTCTTGGCTTTCCTATTAACCTCCTTTATATCTTCCTTTAGAGATATAACAACACTCTTAAATTTGTCGAATTCTGTGCCAATTTTAAGAAGTTGTGCATCTTTTACTTTGCCTGGTCTTTTAAAATCTTCTTTAATTTGTCTGAATTCTTTCCAGTAATTTACGGCTTCTTCTTCATTTCTACGGCTCCCAAGTGAGATGTATATTATAGCCTGAAAAGAATAAAGAACAATCTCAAAATGAGCCGGATTAATGACCATAATTTGAAGTTTATGATTTACTGTAAATTCGTAATGAACCTTAAGTTAATGTATAATAAGTAACTCGTGTGTTGTAAGTGTATTCTACGTAGAGCTGTCAATATGGGCTAGCTCACTCCCTCCGAGCTAATCGATATAAGCTTTGACATTTTACGGGTCAGGTTGGGCTAGCCCATTTTTGGTGTAGGCCGGAAAATGATCGGTCCAATCCACAAGTACGTGGACTACAGACTTGCCGGGCCAGCCCACTTTTTAAAAAATTATATATATCTTTTAATTATTAATTTTTAAATTATTAATTATAATTTAAATATATTATCATAAATATCGACAAAACAATATTACATGAAGTTGATGTTACTACTTGTTAATCAAATTCACAAATAAAATTGTCTTTATAAAATATTTATTAAGTTAAGTTACTATTTTTTTGGAAAAAAAAAACTATTTAAGTATTTTTTAAGTATAAATATTTAAATAAAAATATAACTTAATTGTTTTGAATTTGGCTCTCATCAATTTTATATTTTAATATTACATTATATTTTTTTAATTAAATTTTATTGGCTCATTGACTGGCCCTACTGATATATAAAGAATAAAGTTACCTTATAAAGTGGACGCCTTGCATCGGTAATTAATTTTTCGTCTAAACATTTGCAACGTAGGGCGTTATTGTATTCTCCCTAAGAAAAATAATGACAACCAAAGTTAGTACTATACAATAAAATGAAGAGTTTAATTAAATTTAAATCAACCTTAAAGTGAAAATTATTAATAAATGAAATAATTTAACCTGGTAAATAAGTGTTTCCACAAGTTGCATTTCAAACTCATAAGCTTTATGTGGTTCAGCATTTTTTATTGCATTCTCTAATTTCCTCACTGCTTGGCTTTCTTTTCCACTCATTTCCATCTTTGCAATACACCTCTATTAAACACATAAAACACAAGAAAATAGTTTTTTCTGTTTTTTTTTTTACGCATAAAAAATGAAGATCTTTCGTAGATAAATAAAAAAAAATTATAGGGGTCATGATTCATGCATGACCCATATTTTATATCAAATAATATCAATTTATCATGTTTTAAAAATATATTCATACAAGTGTCATATAGGTGCGATATAAAATAATAAGAGCGGAGAAATGAGAGTTAACCATCTAAAGTAAATATGTGTCTAAAGCTAGAGGATAAGAGCAAATATATATATATATATATAAAAAAAGTAAAACGAAACCCTTTTTTGATAGTATAAAAACAAATATAACTACATATTTTATATCAAATAATATCAACTTATCATGTTTTAAAATATATTCATACAAGTGTCACATAGGTGCGACATAAAATAATAAGGGCGGAGAAATGAGAGTTAACCATTTGACGTAAATATGTGTCTAAAGTTAGAGGATAGGAGCAAATATATATAAAAAAAAGTAAAACGAAACCCCTTTTTTGATAGTATAAAAACAAATATAACTACATATTTTATATCAAATAACATCAAGTTATCATGTTTTATAATATATTCATACAAGTGTCATATAGGTGCAACATAAAATAATAAGGGCGGAGAAATGAGAGTTAACCATCTAAAGTAAATATGTGTTTAAAGTTAGAGAATAAGAGCAAATATATCAAAAAAAAAAAGTAAAACAAAACCTCTTTCTGATAGTAAAAAAATAAATATAACGATATATTTTTTTCGAAAATAACAAAAAAAAAAACAACACGTATTACTTACTTGTAGTTTCTTGAAATGGGGTTGCTCCTCATTGAGCAAAGCATCAAGATCTGTCTCAGCTGAATTCAATGATATAAAATCAGCCTTAGCTTTATGATAATCAATTAACCTTTTTAGAGCCAATTCACCTCCATGTAAAAGTCCAATTGACATTGATCTTGTTAATACTTTTTTCAATTTTTTATTTTTTCTCTTCTTCCATAAACGACCTGAAAAAAATATTAATATATAACACACAAATAATAACATTAAAATTGTTATTAATAAACGTTCATCGTGTTGTGCCACGACTTCGATTGATTTTGTTTTCACTAAATCAATGAAATCTGATGTTTGTTGTATTAAACTCATTAGAAAATGATCGTTGATCATATTTGCTATAAATTGTGTGACTTTTTTTCTTTTTTGTGATTAATTAATTGTGTTGTGAATAAAAAAAAAAAAAGAGTGAGGAAAAGATCCATATATATTTAATTTGGGATTCTTTTTTTAACTTTAGCATCTTTGATGTCTTGTGAAAGTGTTTGTTCTTCACTTGATTGTAAAGAAAATTATTGGATGCTTTAGTGTTTGGTATATAAAAATATTATTCTAATTTATGTATATAGTTTTTTTTTTCTTGTTTGGTTGGTCGTCAAAGTTTGTGGAAAATATTTAAATCGAGAAAAAAGTTCTTTAAAAATGAGAAAATAAAACAGTATTTTCCTGACCTTCAAAAAAATACACTCATGCCCTATACCTCTATCCCAATACTATTTTTCTTAGATTATATATATAAAAAAATTTGAAATGATATTTTTTGCTTTCTTGATGAACGCCAAAAAATAAATAAGAAAATTATTTATACTCCAAAAAATATTTTTTTTCCATTCGTGAAAAATATTTATTTGTTTGTACCAAACACATCCTTATTGTTGGGGCAAGTTTAGTTGGGTTGGGCTTATGCATGCTCAATGGCCATTTTATTATGTTTGGGCTGACGTATAATCAACTAAGGAACTAATTAAGAGGGGGAGAGTGGATTTTCTCGAAAAAGAAAAAACTACAGAATATGACAAATATCAATATATATTTAAGAAAAATAGCTATATATTTAATTTTTTCATGTTATATAGTTATACTTTCACAGTAAATAGTAAAGTTGCATATAGGCAATAAATGGTTTTTTTTTAATAGTAAAAATAAGTATTAAATAGGGAAGTTATTACATTTATAATTAATCATGTCATGCATGGTCATGCATGTTTTACGTTATCATTGTCAATTTCATCAACATTTTTGTATCACATGTATTCTGATTTTCTTCCTCGTATAACTTTCAATACAAAGTCTATTGCATTATTTTAGGAACAATTTTTGTGAGTTGTATCCATCAAGTAATTTTTAATTACATTTTTATTTCATTCTTATGAATATTGTGTTTTTATGTATTTGTCTTTTCGTCTATTTTTAAAGTGTTTTGATTGAAGAATTTATCTTTACTACAGTGACATAAATTTTGTATCCCAAAGAGGGCCATGAGAGGTATACACTAATCTGATAAATTGTTGAATGAACTATCTTTTTTTGATTTGTGTATTACTTAACAACAAGTCAAAGTTTCAGGCTCTATTGCTACAATAATGGAGAATGGAAGAAGAACAAAGAAGGTTAATAACCCCATACTTTTTAATATACTTGAAGAATTAGAACATGTAAAATCAGTAAAGATGAAAGAAGGTTCAAAATCTTTAAACTGAAAATTAATCTTGAAAAAAGAGAAGTCAACAATCTTGATTCATGTGGAGATCGAAAAAATTAGAGTAATCCAGTAGAATCGGAGAACATGAGATTGAGATTTGTTTGCTTTATTTTTTAGTTTGATATCATATATATACTTATATATCTTGGTTTATTGTGTGACATTGTCATTATAGATTTTCCTCTTATATTGAAATAGTTAAACAAATTATATTCATATGTTTACGGCTGTAAAAAATGAGTACATAAAGAACATGAGCAAGAAGAGATTGAGGGTTATCTAATTGACAGTTGCATATGTAGAGTAATACATATACATAGATACTTGTAATGTAATATTGTCAAAAGTTGAAGTGGTAATTTGTGAATACAAGTATGTATATAGAGTACACAAGGACTATGAGGGAAAAGAGATTAAGGTCTGTATAATTATCAATTATGTACATAGTCAGAATATTTATATGCATAAATACTTGTATTGTTATATAAACACAAATTGAAATGCTGATTTGTGAATACAAATAGATCTGAATACATAAGTGCTCTATCCAATTTAAAAGATTAATTAGAGAATACAAGTAAAGTTAGTTATATTAACACTACCATTTTTATAATAAAATACTTGACTTATCACTAAATGTCAAATATTACAGGAAAAAATTGACCAAAAATATATTGATATTTATTGTTTTTTTTAAATCTTTTATATAGTTGATTACTTATAGAGTTTGATATCCACACATTTTATTAATTTTCAATTTTCTTGCTTTTGAATTGTACAATGTATCCATCTTATGTTTAACAATAATGTCTTCGTATATATACTATATTGGTGTATTTATTTTTATTTAACAGTGGTGTATCCATTTTTTTAAAATTATTGTGATTTTTTGTTAAAAATTATATACTTTACATTGTTAAAAATATTAATACATTAAATTTTAATAAATACCTTGGATACATTAAAATTTATAGTTTTATATGCTCATTTTACAAAATATATTGTTCATTTGTAGGAAATAAATTCGATGTGTTAGATAGTACGATTGAAGCCCCACATATGCATATATACGAAAATCATAACATAGTTCATAATTTGAAGGAGAAACTTTCACATGTGTAGTTAATAAATTTAAGAATACATATTTTGGTATGTGTGCTCATATGCATGAGTGTTGTGTTCAAAATTAAATTTTTAGGTGTTTAATGATTTGCGAGTTGGAGGATAGTTCATCATATACTTTGTTCATTCGTATAAATCAGATCATATTTTCAATTCTGTATTCAGAGTTTGTCATTTTCTTATTTAATAACAGTGTATTCATATGTATAGTATATTGGTGTAGAAATTGTACTACTTTTTCTTGTTTGATACTTGTATCCTAGATATATTAATACTTTAAATTTTAATAGAAACACCAATTTGAATTCAAAGTATTCATATGCTAATTGTACAAGTAATACATTTTTCTTATTTCGTTATTATAATTACAACTGTATTAGTATATGAATAAATAAAAATAAAATACATCTTTAAAATTACAACGAGAAAAAAAATATGAATTCTCTTTTATATTCGAAATTTTATGAATACCTTTATATAAGTATTTAGTGAATATATTATATTTAGGAATATAAAGACAATTTATTTTATCATGTGAGTGAATCATATTTGCATACAATATGCAATTATTAGTTGGAAATTTAATAATGAAAATTTCAATTATTTAGAAACATAATAAAAGATTGACACTTGGGAGTTATGAAAACATGTCATACCTTATTTAGTGCTTTGCATAAATAATAATAATTACAATAAAAAAATAAATTTGATATAAACATGCAGCTAGAAATTGACAAAAAATGTAGTCATTTCCAATAAATAACATATTCATAGCTGTTGAACTTTAATAACTCTATAAATATAATTATTTTTGTAAGTTGCTCAAAAATATCTAAATATTAATTTTAATTTTTGGTAAACAATTTGCAAGTGCCACATCATTAAATGTGTATCTAAAATTATAATTTTGACTAAAACGAACTTTCCAGCAAAACATAAAATATGATTAAACATGGAATTTAATTTAAATGGAATTATTTTTTTTCAATAAAACAGTGAACATAAAATATGATTAAACATGAAATCTAAGTTAAATGAAATTAATTTTTTTTAAAAAAAATAAAAATAGGGAAAGTAAATGAAAAGGTAAAAGCATGATTTTGGATGTTTTTAAAATTTTAAATACAATTTCAAGTAGTACATAAAACTTTTGCGACTAAACAGTGATTTTCAGATGAAGTCGATTTTTTTTTTTTTGGAAAAAAAGAAAAAGATGTAAAGAATTTTCATGGCCAATAATAAATTGACAAGCGTATTTCAATATCTTTTCTTTCAATTTCATTACCTAATTTGACATAGACTTAAAGTGAAGAAAACAAGAAAAAGGTAATAAATATTTCCGTTGAATAATTATAGAACAGAAATGACTGCACCACCTTTTTTGTTTCATTTTTAAGAATTTGCGAAGAAATGAAAAAACAAATATGTTCCTTTTTTTCTTTGCACGAGTTGATTGAAAATCTATAATCGTTTTATGGACAAAATCATTTTTATTTTTTTGTTTCTTTTCAACATTATTTAAAGGAATATCTCTTAATAGACAGTTGTCTTTTTTTCTTTTTTTTTTAAAAAAAGGAGAATGATCAAATATGCTCCTAAATTATTTCAAAAAGTTCAGATATATCTTTCGTTTAAAGTATGGATCACTCATATCTTTATCGTCCAAATTTTTTGCTCAGATATGTTCTCATGGGCGTTAGTTGATATGCTGGGCATATCCAACTTATTTTTTTATTTCTTTAAATGCCACATTAAATTGTCATATCATTTTGACCTTACCACATGACATTTATATGAAAATGAAAAGAAATTAATTATTTCCCTAAAAAATTCAGACACATAAACACCTAATGCGATCCATAAATAAAACCCCTTTTAAATAAACTATCCAATCTGTTTTCAACAATTTTGTTTAATTTTTATTTTTTAGGTAAATTTTAAAAATGAATTATTGATTAATAAAAAATAGGTAAAATATGAAGAAAAAAACCAAAATAAAAATTAATATAAAAAATTCACAAACAAATATAATAATCTTAAGTTTAAAAATTTTAACACTTTTTTTTAATTATTTTTTTTGATAAATCCCTGAAAATGAGTAATTTATTAATAAAAAATATGAAAAACATATAAAATTAACGTCAAAAATTCACAAACAAAATATGATAACCTTAAATTCAACAATCTCAAACAACATAACCTTTCTCATATTATTATAATATATTGAAGTCCAAACTAATACATAAAATTGTGTTTAATGAAAATTCATATAATTAATATATATTATTCTCTTTTGTAAAGCACGTTATTTTGACTTGTATTAATTGATGATACGAATTAAGAGCACTTTTAATGAGAAATAACTCATTGATGGGCCGTTTGGTTAGTGTATAAGAGACATTTTATTTATGTATAAAAAGTTGGATAAATTTTACTATGTTTTGTAGAAGTTTTAAGTATAAAAGTCAACATAATTTATACTATTTTTTGTTGCACTTTTATATTCATACATAATTAATACCAACATAACTTATAAGGTAATTTATGTATAAAGTTATA